CAGCAATAATAAAAAGTTGCACACATGAGGTGTCCCTTACACATTACGGGGCCTTATCTATATTATTTGCATCTGCATTGAATCCACGTGGAGCCTATGACATAAGCCTATTCAACTGGTCAACGCCACAGATAAACCTGAGCAGCTGTGATAATGGCGACATGCTGTTACATTTCTAGAGAGGAGCGTGTCCGGTTAAGGCGTAGAGTTTCAGAAGAGTTTTAATGCAATTCGTTTCACTATAGCTCTCATAAACGTAAAAGAAAGTTAAAAAAGAACTAGAGGAAAAGTGAGAAGATCACTAAAGTAATTTGGATTCATCCTCTGGGCATCATGAATGTCTGTGCTCCAACTGATGCTGAGCAGTTTCGATCTAAGTGACATTGAACCAGTTTTTCCAGCAACAACAGCTGTATAAACTGGATGCCTTCCTGTTATGCCTCCCTCTGGGCTTCAACCAGGGATCCTTCACTTTTTATGCGCCTGTGGTAATCACCACTTGCAGCCAGCATGGCTCAGACAAGTGTAAAAACAGCAGCACAAAGCCTCCAAATCTGAACTGCCCTTGTGTATTTGTTACAGGAGTCTAAAGGCCCCAAAGCTGTAATATCCATCAAGGACCTGAACGCCACCTTTCAGCCAGAGAAGATCGGTCATCCTAACGGACTGCAGATCACCTACCAAGACGGGGATCACACCAGGAACCTCTACGTTTATCATGAGCGTTCTGAAGTCAGTCGACATGATCGTTTATAGCATCAATATTAACACCTGGTAGGTCTCATATACTTGTTTTGAGGTTCTAATAGAATCTCAAAGTTTTTGTTTTTGCTTTACTTCAGGAAATAGTCACATGGTACAACGCGATTCGAGCCGCTCGCTATGCGTACTTGAAGACGGCCTACCCGACAGGAAGCGATGAAGAAGTAAGTGTCAAACTATTTCATTTTAAGCCAGCTGTATGTCAGTTTTTAGCTTGTATATTTTAGTGTTTGACATGTTTTACTGTCTTGTGTCTTCATCAGCTGTTACCAATGATAACAAGAAACTACCTCAAAGAGGGTTACATGGAAAAGACGGGGCCAACGGTGAGCTCACTGAAGTCACTCGAGCGTCATTTGCACGCCTATATTATTTCTCTTCTACTTTGATTTTTACTCACACTCACCAGCAAACTTGTTTGTGACTACATTATGTGTGATCAGTACATCTGAATGTGTTTCTGTTCCTCTTTTAGACTCTGACTCACATGTGCGTGCAGCTCGAATCTTTTTTCTTTTTTAAGAATCAGTTTGTGCGATAGGAGGTTTTGAGGAAATGAAGTCTGATGAGCACATTTTTCAAATGCACATTTTATTTTTGAAATCAAATGTTTTCTTTTATTTTGTACGCAGCAAACAGAGTCATTCAAAAGGAGGTGGTTCATTTTAGACTCTCAAAACAGGAAGTTGCTCTACTTCAAAGGCCATCTGGTGAGGACACTACCTCTTTTTTCCATCTCACTCTAACCCCACACTGTACACCTATGAAGTATGTGAGTCACGTGCTTTTTCTTGTTGTAGGATGCAGAGGAGCTAGGGGCCATTTTTATCGGCACAGAGTGCAAAGGTTACTCGGTTAAGGAGTACGTCCCGCTGAACGCCCGGGGAAACAAGTGGAAGTGCGGATTGATGGTGGAAACGCCCGAGCGACAGTTCGTCTTCATGTGCGAGCAGGAGAGGGACCAGAGGGAGTGGCTGGAAGCGCTCAGGAAGGTTTTGTCCAGACCCATGTCACCCCAGGATTATACCGGTAAGCAAGACTTCAGTGTGCTTTAAATATGCTGGTGCCCAATTTTCCATATTATTTTTCTTTGTATTCAAAGGAAAACTTGAACTCCATTAACTAAATACCATACATGGCCACTATTTAATCCTCCACAGGCACAACCCATAACCATCACCCCATTTTACAGAAACGTTTGGACACTGTGGAAATTATCAGTAAAAGCAGAATGACATATTTTGCACAAATTTAAAATCTTATCTCTTATCTATGATGTTGAAACTGGGAAAATGTGTTGGGTTTTGCTCATTTTGAATTTAATGGCAGGAGCACATTTTAAAAAAAGTTGGGCGAGGGGGATTAAATAACTTGAAAAGTTGTGTAATGCTGTAAAACAAACATCTGATGGAGAGTGATGACAGTAAATAGTTTAAAATACTATTTATTGTCTATTTAATCCATTACTGACCATTTAATCCAGGGGTGGGCAACTCCAGGCCACGAGGGCCGGAGTCCTGCAGGTTTTAGATCTCACCTTGGGTCAACACACCTGAATCACATGATTAGTTCATTACCAGGCCTCTGGAGAACTTCAGGACATTTTGAGGAGCTAATTTAGCCATTTAAAATCAGCTGTGTTGGTTCAAGGACACATCTAAAACCTGCAGGACACCGGCCCTCGAGGCCTGGAATTGCACACCGCTGATTTAATCATTGGGATTGTTTCCAGTCCCTATAAGGCAGGGGTGGACAACTCCAGGCCTCGAGGGCCAGTGTGGCTGAAAACCTATATTGCATGACCATTATCTTTAGGTCCAGTCATGATTCTGGTCGCGCTTTATGGTTTTCTCACTGCTGCGCACAAAAATGCAATTTTGCCTTTTTCCTTTTACTTTGTAAAGAAAAAAAATTTTATACTTCAGGAACATTGCCACCTTCTCTGGACCTCAGTTTTTTAAGGCATCACTCACCCAGGCCTAGAGACCGATTGGCCAACCAATGGTCACTAGGGAAAAATGTGTATCCCCTCCCTGATTGGCAAGTAGTTGCTAGGTGACACACTCACAATGAAGGATCTGCACTAAAAATCTCTTCATGATTGTTCTGGTTGCTAGCACACGGACTTGCAGGGATGACGTTTTGTTTGATAAGTGTTGCTAACTACTGGCTGAGCTGCAATGAAACTTAAAAAAGTGCAACACAAACTGGAAATGGAGAACTTTCACTTTCAAAAATTCCAGCTTTACTGCTTCAACCAGTTCCATTACAGTAGTGCAACCTTTACTCTGAAGGTGAAGGGTCTCCGTTCAAAAGCTTGCATCTCTGATGGTATGGAGGCACATCAGTGTCCATGGAATTGGTAGCTTGCGCATCTAGAAAGGCAGCATTAATGCTGAAAATACATACAGGTTTTAGAGCAGGGGTGGGGGAACTCCAGGCCTAAATGGCCAGTGTCCTGCAGGCTTTAGATATCACCCTGGTCAACACACCTGACCACCCTTGAGGCCTGGATTTCCCCCACCCCTGTTTTAGTGCAACACATGCTCCCATCCAGTATGCTAAACCACATACTGCTCAGTTTAAAGATTCATTATCTATTGTGTTCTACTGTGAATAAAATATGTGTTTAAGTTGATATTTCCAAATCATTTGAATCTGTTTTTATTTATATTTCACACAGCACACTCCCATCTACTTTTTTAACTAGGGTTATATTTGGTTTCAATGACGGAACCTTGACATGTATTTACTTAAGATATAGTGTGCAGCAGCAAGACACATGCTGTCTGTAGCTGTTTCTGTCTGTCCGAGAAGAGGCAGAGAGAAAAAAAGCATCTTGTGTTATCACAGTTACTGTATATATTTTTGGCCTTGTTTAGCACATTCAGATATGGTGTTGGTACGTTTTTAGGTAATATTTTAAGCCCTTAGTTGGCATGCTTATCCTCTAAATGTAGCTCGTAACAGTGCAAAAGCAAAGTGCCTCAAGCAATCTGGCCTCCCTGCTACAGCTTTAATATACATATGTAATCATTTATAGAAAGCTGTAGTAGCTGATCGTTAGTGTGTTAAGCTCTAATGATGTTCTTTCTCATTCCAGCTGAAGCCGTCATGAAGTATAAGCGATGATCGATGAAGCTGCGAGCGAGAGAACAGACCTGCTGTCGGCTGCACTGACTCTCAGTACTGACTGATTCATGCTGTGCAGAGCATTAAAGGGCTTCAGTACGCTCACTTCAACTGACACTGTTTCTAATGCTAAAATAAGGCCTCACATGTGTTTATCATTATACATAAAATGCATTCTGCTGTTAAACACCTGATCAGCATTGATATATCACTGGGTACACCCATGCTGTATATGAATGTATTTCTAAAATTTAATAAATTTATTTTGGATATTTAATGAGTGGATACATTTATATTTGAAAGTGAAGATGCTACATGACACTATGGCCACAAAATAAATGTCTTTTTTTTGAATGGTGTCTTTTTTGCAAGGTTTTTTTTTTCCATGTGCAGACAAATTGCAAACACTTATTAGAAATGGTGCTAATGAATCAAGATTATGTCACAATATCACAGCTTTTTAAATTAATGCCATTTTGGTGTTTGCTCTTTCTTGTTCCTCAATTACCGGTATTTTTTATTTTTTAACTGAAAATTTTCTCATGCTGCCTTTAGGGGTCGCCAAAGCGGACCATCTGCATCCATCTCTGTCACACCAGCTATGTGCATGTCTTCCTTCACTACATCCATCCAATGAAAATTTGAACATGAGCTCGAAAACAAAATAACGTTTATAAAACATTATTTGACTTGATGCTTCCATAAACACCCTGAATGTGGAAGAACATGGATGGATGGAAAACCTCAGCACTGATATAACAGGCTGCCTGACAGAAACTACGATGCCTTGGCATGAAAACACTTCATCCAGCTTTGTCCATATATCCTGTTTTGGGGGAAAATACTAGCTGAGTATACTGAGCTGTTTAACGTGTAAAGCTGTTCACAAAAGGTAAGAAATATAGATATCATTATAAAGCAGTCATCTTATCAACCACATAAAACCAAGTATATTGTTTGCTGCTTGTTTTAGTAAAGTTTTAATTTTTAATATTTTATTTGGACACGCAGGAGACGCCAAATCATTGCACTTCCACGTTTGAAATCCAGGGAGCAGCATAGAGTGTTTTCTTTTCATTTTTTTTTAAAATTTCTGGTGCGCGTTTTGTCCTGTCTGGCTTGCCGTAGATACCCGGTCTTGTAGGTCGGGCATGCCCGTGAACCATCCACTGCGAAATCCTCTGCCAGCGCCTTCAAGAGAGCGATTAACGTGCGCTTACAGAGATATGTGACACATACTGCATTAAACGTTGTCTTTCTGTCCAGCGGATAAGCAATAAGTTCAGCAGAAGCGTGCGGAAAATTGCGAGCAGGACCCGAAAAGTGTCCGTCCGTTTTGTCCTACAAAGGCGCGGAGTGTTTGACAGCGGCAGGGCCCAACGGTAGTTAACTGCCTAAGAAGGAGGACGGCATCCAGAGGTCTACATGAAACAATAAAGACGGTCCTCTGTGCAGGAAAACAAGTGCCAACATGAGGAAGGACGTGAGGATACTCCTTGTAGGGGAGCGTAAGTAGCAACTTCTTTAATCTTCACTAGCTAATATGCTAGTAGCTACAGCTACTTTGTATCAGTTACATATCGTGTGATGAGCTGTGAGAGTCAGCGGAATAGCTTCATTATCCCACAGAGCTTGATAATCACACACTTCGACTGGTCCTGTTATTAGAATAAATAGCAGGCTTTGTTTATATCGAGCGGCCAAATCATTATCACATGGTGCATGACAGCTGCCTCATCAGGGCTTACATGCACTGCTCGGCTCGCCGCTTCTTATTTGAAGGGAAAATATGAGCCAAACAGTCCAGTTTGGAGTATGGACATCACTATAACTATTTTATGTTGATATCTGTAGAAAATGTTTGTGTACCATTTTTGTGGCTTGTGAGTCATTCTCAAAGTATGTGTAATGGGATTCAGGGAGAGTCTGAAACCATGCATGCACAAACAGAACAATTACAAGTCAGTGAGGGTGGTTTAAAATATTATTGTAGTATTTGTTAACATGATAATGATCTGAAGGCAAACCTCTGTGTGTTCTAAAGAGTCCTAAAACATAATATCAATACTACAGATTAGATGTGATACAAGTATTTGTATTTGCATTTTTAAAAAAAAAACTACAGTTGCTTTAATTGGTTAATTACTGTAATTTGGCTTATCGGAGTCAAGCGATGAGGATTTAGGAGGATGTAAACGGAGTTTATTAACTAAAGTGCTCTTAATTGGAATACAGCCTTGGTAAGCAAAGCAGAGAAGTAATTAAGTGGTAATAAACACCCCCAGACATCGCAGGGTATAATAAATATGTGAATCATGATTTTTTTTTTTTTTTTTTTTGGGCCTCTTTAATTGTATTTTTGTAGGTGACATATTCTGGTAGTTCTGTATTATTAAGTGATTGAAGGGCTATTGTGCCGATTAGATGGTGTAAGAGTGTCTGAAAGTTTGAGCTGTGACAAAGATCACAGGAATTCAAAAACTTCTGGGAAAACCCTGAAGTTAAGGTCATTCTGTGGTATAAAAAGTTGTATTAGCTTAAGATAACATAACACATGATAAGATAAGGTAAGAAATACTTTATTCATTTCAAAAGTTGGGAAGTTCTTGTTGAAATGAAACAGTCTATAGTTAAATAGTTTGAATAAACAGAATAAATATTTAAGCTTGTTTAAAAAAATACAGGAATTATAAAGAAATTTCACATAAAAACTACACAAGAGAAAGAGGGTGAAAGAATCTAAACGCACTGCTATTACAAAAACCTTTATCTCTTATTAAAAAATATTAACATCTATGTAGTACAATGAAGCAAAATATCTTAGTTAATAAGTCAAAATAAAATATAGTTTAATACATTTAGCAAGAAAAAAACTACAGCAAATGAAAATGTTAATGTTCACTGTTTGTCAAATGTTATTTCTTTGTCTTGTAAAATGGTTCACGTAAACTACCTGAAGCCCAAAGTGATCTCCTCACTTTACTCTTGTTTTTTTTGGACCCAGAGCTTCAGAACCGGGAAGCTTGAAGCAGAAGATATTAAATAAATCATCCATCCATCCATTTTTCTTCTGCTTAAACAATCAAGGTTCACCTTGCCTATTGCAGCATACATTGGACAGCTTGGCACACTGGCTGCTCATCTATCACAGTGCTTAAATAAATGATTTGAACTTTTATTTTGAAGAGCTGTTTGTTGACCAAATGTGCCAGTTTTACATGGCAGAGGATATTATGGGTAAACAGCTGCATGTTTACAGATCCTGACCTTTTGAAGGACTTTGAAATGACCTGTAAATCCAGCATGTCCCACCCTGCGTGTTTCACCGTGTCTGTTTGTTCTCTTTTGAGCACACATGTTGACAGTACTATTTATATTCAAGTTGTGGCTCTTCAGGATGGCACACATTGCTACTTTAGGAGAGTTAGTGCTTAAGGTGCAGCCAGAAAGCTACGTGCCAGCCTGTGTGTTATGAAGTTCAGGTTGTGAGATTAACTGTGAACACACCGAGAGGCAAGTGGCAGGGAAACGCAGGGCTGCAGTTTCAAATAATTGCAATTGACTGTTAACTTCTATAAAAATGAACAAATCTAAAAAATACGCAGTCACAGGAATCAGCAGTGATGTCAGGGAAGTGGTAGCTTTGTCCAACTCACGATTCAAAAGTAAGTTTGCTGGAAAAAAGCAAATCGCCACATTTCCAAAGCTGTAAAACGCTCATGCTTCAGGGTGTTTTGGCTTCATTTATTGCATTGTGGGATTCGACTAATCATTCAGTCAACACATCATTTCACTCCCAGTCCTTAGATCTAGAGTTTGAGGTTTTTCTTGATAAATACTGCCTGTATTAACAAAACGGCAATGGCCGCGTCCTGTGTGTGATACAGATCATGTTGTTGTCGGCTGTTTACCTTGATTGTTATACGTTTATTTTTTGTAAATGTGCAGCCTATCCCAGCGATCGTAGGGCGAGAGGTGGAGCAGACTCTGGACAAGTCTTCAGTTCATCACAGGGCTAACACAGAGAGACAGACAATAACAACTTAGAATCAACAATTACCTTAACCCCACTAACTGCATGTCTCTGACTGTGGTTGGAAGCCAAAGTACTCAGAGAAAATACAAACTCCATACAGAAAGGCTCCGGCCAGATTAACATACATGGAGTTTAACTCGGGAGCCTTTTTTGCTGTGAGGCAACAATGTGGACTACCACACCTTAATATCTTAAATCCTACTAAATCTACACTAATTTGAGTTTAAAACTACTCATTTACATGACTTTACTTTCAACAATTTGCTACACGTCAGACACTTTAACCCTCACATTCATATCAATAAGTGTCTTTCACCCTGAGTTAATAGTGTACAGTCGTAAGGGATCATTATATTATGATGGTTCTGTAAGTGCATGCTTTAGTTGGATGAAGAAGAAGGTGCTACCTTTAAACCTGTATTGATTTAACTGTACCATTAACAATAAACCTCTTTGATTTGATGGTGGGGGTTTGTTATTAGATTTTGCAAATTCCTAAAGTTTAAAGTAAAGAAAGCTCTGATAATTACAGGTTTAATCATTTCTGGATGTTTTGTTCACATAACCGTGTAGCTCTTTGACCTGCCTTTCCAGTGCAGGCCTATTTGCAGACTGCGTTACCTCTCGATGTTCTGGATTCACTGGATGGTGGCCTTTAGTGAGCGCTCAGCTGTGATCGGTGGCACTTGGCTGCAGCTCTTCAGCTGCTCTTATCTGTTCCTGTCATTTCACACATCACCAGGATCTGTCATGAAAGTGGCAGAGCGTTTTTGCATGTTAATGACTCTGTTCTGTCTTTTTCTTGTTGTGCTCTACAGCTAAGGTGGGGAAGACGTCCCTGATTATGTCTTTAGTCAGTGAGGAGTTTCCAGATGAGGTATGTGTGATGAGGCACTGTGGTTATGGTTAAAAGCCTCCTTTTGAGTGTTCACTGTTGACTGTCATTTTATCATTGTTTGACATCATTGTCCTGTTTTCCAGGTTCCACTCCGAGCTGAAGAGATCACCATCCCAGCCGATGTCACCCCGGAGAGGGTGCCCACACACATTGTGGACTACTCAGGTATCTCCCCCCTTTACACACAGTCTTTCAAACTGACACAAGAACAGTGTAGCTAATAAAAAGAAGCCCATTCAAATCCTTCCGATACAAGGAAGTATTGAGTGTTCAGCTGACATCATTTTGTGCGTGGCTGCAGCTCTTATCTGTTCCACTGGGTTTCAAGATGTAGGTCATGAAAGTGTCTCCATTTTTATTTGAGAAAAACAAAGTGAGCACAAGAGGTGTTAGGTAACATAATACTGTACTAATTTTCCTTTTGCACAGAAGCAGAGCAGTCAGATGAGCAGCTGTATCAGGAAATATCAAAGGTCGGTGTTATTTCATTCTTGCTTTGCCCTGTTTGTGCTGCATGTTGTTGATGTGTGCTTCATAAGGTAATGTTGCTTTTTCTCTTCTTAGGCTAATGTGATCTGCATAGTTTACTCAGTCAACAACAAGAAGTCGATTGAGAAGGTGAGCCTGGTGTCAGCGTACTTATGTTTCATATTACTCTTGTTTGGCTCGACTTGCTTTTTCATCTCGACATAAGTTGGTTTCTTTGTAAGAAGTTGGCAAAAGCTGGTTGCTGTTATTATTTTACTGTCCATAAACAATCTTTAATGTTATCTTGGGGGGACGCCAGAGAAGAGTAATGGATGTAGTGAAGGAGGACATGCAGTGGTTGGTGTGACAGGGTGAGATGAAGGCGTCCCCTTAAGGGAGAAGCCAAAAGAAGAAGTTATTTACACTAAAGCTCACATTCATCCTTTCACACGCACAAAAATGAAGCTGTTTTAGAATCAGAATACTTCATTAATCCCATTTGAGATATACAGCACTATCTCCTGAGCCAGCAACAACTCCAATACCAAACACCACGGTGGTCACTGGCATCCCTCATAATAAAAGTCAGATCATATTTCACCAGTTAAAAGCTTTTAATGTGACACTGGGGCAGAAATGTTTGATTTGCACTTCCAGTAGATTTTACTGGGATGGTTGCCATAGACACAGACTGAATTACTCTGCAAATATATTGCAGTACTTTCATCAGACTGGGTTACCTTTGTTATTCCAGGCATTTATTTAAATGAAAACCTTTGTGTTGGTGCTGCATGTTTGTCATTGTGCGTTCCTTCCCCAGGTGACGAGCCACTGGATTCCTCTCATAAACGACAGAACGGACAAAGACAGCAGGTGTGTACGTCAGCTAACGGTTATTTTTATCATCAGCTCATCTACCAACCGTTTTCTTACTTAACTTATTCAGTGTTTGGTCTATACAGTGTCAAAAATTGTAGTTTAATTTTTCTCTTCTTCCAACCAGAATAAACACGTTTACAGTTCTTTTTTTTTTGTTTGTTTGTTTGTTTTTTAATGAGGCTGGAAAATCCTTCCCTTTAGATATCTGCAACCAACTGCAGATTTTAAAGCAATGATTAAAACACATGATCTAATTAGCTTTAGTCTGATTTTCTGTTGATTGGCTGATTGTTGCTGCTCTGTGATAAATGGCTTCACTGCAGGGTGCCACTGATTCTTGTGGGGAACAAGTCAGACCTGGTGGAGCACAGCAGCATGGAGACCATCCTGCCAATCATGAATCAATACCAGGATATTGAGACGTGTGTAGAGGTAAAGCAAAAGTGATACAAACAGACACACACACTTGGACTCATACTATGATTGGGTCTATTGAGGCTGTTTGGAGGTCCCACTCACTTAAATGTCAAAGTCTGATGAAACTGTTGAGAGCAGTGAAACTGCTAATAAAGTTTAAAAGGCTGATTGAAAATCCAGTACTGGCAGAGTGTGTCAGAGTGAGACAACCTGTGTGGAGGACAGATTGACCCCCAGCTGCTCTTAGAGTGCAGTCCAGATCCTGACTGCACATACACTCTGAGACCTGAATAGATTTATATTACCACGCTCCGGGGCCACGGCCTGCTGACTGACTGTGAATGTGCCGTGAGGCTCGGCTGTCATGAAGCGAGGCAATGGGAATCTGCCTCCCTCGGCGTTTATTCAAATTTCCCTCTGCCGCCTGCGACGGCTCGGTCCTGCCCTTCTGAGCTGGCTTAGTTACGAGGTTAAAAGAGGGACGCATGGTGGACGTGAGGGACAGCACATACACAGTGGGAACAGACTGGGGTCAGTCACTCTGCTATGAGAAATATGTGATCCTGTGAGGTGCTTAGATTTCAGATATAACTGTGTCAAAAATAAAAGCAGCAGCACAGTTTAAAGTACAGTCTTTATGAAGCTTTTTAGAAAATCATGTTTAAGATAAAAGTCTGCATTTACTCAACCCCCCCAAATGAGATGTTTTTAAGGGGAAATGATCAGAATGATTTGGACAGTAAGCTGCATTTTAAGTCAGTTTTTTATATGGACTGCAGTACCCAGTATAATGTTCAGAATTTCCATCCTTTAGTATTACCTACTTCATGCATTCAGCTTTTTTCCTATTCATTTATTTTTTGTTTATTGGAAACCATTCATAACAACATGGTAACCTGAGCTGCACAGTGGCTCAGTGGTTAGCTGTGCTGCCTCACAGTTAGGGCTCTGGGTTCAAACCTCCGGCTAATGAAAAGCATGTTCTGTCAGCCATGCTTTCGTCATACCCATCATACTCTTGGAGAAGAGATTCTCAATCTCAAGAGTTTCACTTTCGTGGTAAATAAAAGTTTAAAATAAGGCGGCCTGTTTTTCTCTCAGTGCTCTGCAAAAAACCTGAAGAATATCTCCGAGCTGTTCTACTACGCCCAGAAGGCCGTTCTCCACCCGACAGGACCCCTGTACTGCCCAGAGGAGAAGGAGGTGGGTTCTGACTTGTTGAACACAGGTAGCTTTAATGGAAATGTTGGTTTGCAGCTTTCAGAAACCTGGTGGAGTTACCTGTGGAAACTATGGGCAGCCGTGTCAATCTGTTGGCAACCAATCGCAAGGAAGTTTTAAGTGCATCCTCTTTGTGACCGATTTCAGCTGGCAACAAGTAGCAACCACTCACGAGCAGACTAGAAAAGATTTTTCACTAGGTCGTCAGGGATACACCGACCAGGCTGTAGGTCTGAGATGGCATTATCCTTTGATTACACTCGTCATAAAATCTGCAATCTGCAAGAATCACCTAAATCTGTTCTTCATGTATTTTATCCTCACTGTGGCCTGTTTTTCTGTTAGAGATCAAGAGTAAAGCTAAGGAAATAAGAAAAGCAGATTTAAATCCTGGTGCATCACAGAAGTGCATTTTGTCTCCTAAAAAATGGTTTTTCTCCTGTATTACAGCTGAAGCCTTCATGCATTAAGGCTTTAACCAGGATATTTAAAATCTCTGACCTGGACAATGACGGCACCCTTAATGACAGCGAGCTCAATTTCTTTCAGGTAATGTTTTCCTTTTTAATAACATCAGCGTCTGTTTGTTAGATTGTGAGTACTGAGACGGTGTAAGGTTCAGCGTTGGTCTGTTTGTATATGAGGAAAACAACCTGTAACGGGTTTAGGGAGATGGGCTTTGACATGAAACGATGCGCTCATAACAACACATGTCACAGCAGCAGCATCTGAAAACTGCATATATGTTGTGTATGCATGTAGAGAACATGCTTCAATACACCACTGGCACCCCAGGCGTTAGAGGACGTAAAGAACGTGGTCAGAAGAAACATGATGGATGGAGTCAAAGACAACGGGCTCACGCTCAAAGGTCGGACACTGCCCCGTTCTTCCTTTGTTTTTATGTGTTTCTCATACTTGGTGGCTTTGTGAACATAATTCGTACTGTCTGAATCACTTTTCTGAGTGTTCACGCTCTCTCTCAAATTGTGTCCACTTTTTTTCTTTCTTTTTTTTTTAAATTGCAGGCTTCCTCTTCCTGCACACCCTCTTCATACAGCGAGGTCGGCACGAGACCACATGGACCGTGCTGAGGAGGTTCGGTTATGACGACGACCTGGAGCTCACGCAGGAGTACCTGTTCCCCCTGTGAGTGCAGATTAGTTTGCATGTCACTTTGAGGGGTGTTCAATTTAAAGCAAGAAGTGGAGAAAAAAGCAGGTACCTGAATAAAACCAGAAAGCTGCAAATTCACCAAAACGTATGTTTTTCTTCCTTCTCTTTATACCAGGATAAAGATCCCTCCAGACTGCACCACAGAGCTTAACCACAACGCTTACCTCTTTCTTCAGAGTGTCTTTGACAAGCATGACAAAGTGAGTGGTCATGCTTGTTTTGTTTGTTGGTTTGTTTTTTCCCTTAGCACTTTTTTATTTCCATATTTACGACTAGATTTCAGCAAGATGAACCTTTCTGTGCTCAGTTGAGTTTGTGTGTGTTTGTCTCTGCGGTCTTCCAGGACAGAGACTGCGCGCTGTCGCCAGAGGAGGTGAAAGACTTGTTCAAAGTGTTTCCCTACATGCCCTGGGGTCCAGATGTAAACAACACAGTTTGCACTAATGAACAGGGATGGCTCACATACCAGGGATACCTCTCCCAGTGGACGTGAGTGTGCATATTGTTACGCATCTGTTTTAACTTCATGCACCCTGAAAAACTTCACGCTGGGACAGATTAACAGGCACTTCTCCGACATGTAAAATCTTCTCACTTCTCTTCCTTTCCTTTGGTAGGTTAACAACATATCTGGACGTGCAGCGTAGTTTGGAGTACTTGGGCTACCTCGGCTACTCTATCATCTATGAGCAGGAATCCCAAGCGGCTGCAATTACAGGTAGGTAGAGGTGGGAAGTAATAAAGTACAGATGCTTTGTTACTGTACTTAAGTACAATTTTCAGGTATTTGTGTTTTACCTGAGTAGTTTGTTTTACTCCCAACATTTTTAAATAAATATCTGTACTTTCTAGTCTTTACGTTTTTAAAACAGGCTCATTACTTTTGGTTTTAACACATTTGAGTTAATATTTTGTCACTGCAAACCTCCAAACATCAAACACGTTTGAGCCTAAACAGAAACGGATTAAAGGCAGCCCTGTTTGTTTATTAATCAGCAGAGGATGTCTCATAAAAAGAGATGACGCGTGCCAAAGTCAGGGGTTAAAAGTGAGAGGGTGTTTTTATTGAATTATGTATTTATTGCCGCAACACTGGAACGACTCCAGGTGTCTGTAAGTTGTGGCTGCGCTGCTTCGCATCTAGCTAGCAGAGATTCATTTATGCAGTCCAATATAAAGACAGCATAAGCAGTGTACTGTCAGTGTAGAGGATGGAAATCAGCCAGGACAACTCGTGAAACATCTGCTGACATCTGGTTGAATTCAGTTGTGTCCAACCACAAAGAGCAGCAGGTCAGCTGATCACAGTCTGTACACGAAGAAAATTTACTGCAGCGCACAGTAGAAATCGTTGAGTTTTGATCCATTACAGCTGATTTTAGGGATCCTGCTGAATCCACTTTATCCCCTCATTGTGCTCATTTTCCTGTTTTGAGGCAAAGTCACCCTCTACAATGTAGGCAACAGAAAATAGAGAGATGCATGTTTTTATTTTCCTTTTTTTATTTTTATTTTCCAAGCTGAGTATAATTAAATTGTATTCGCATGTATGTTATTTCATCATTATGTTAAAATAGCACAAGGTTCAGTTCACAAAAAAGAAACTTCCTCCAAAGAGCTCATTTTACTTACCTTGAGTACATTTCAGATCCGGTTAAGTACAGAATCTCTGTACTTTTGCCAGCTTTGTATATTACTAATTGTATTATAAAGCTACAAGAAAAATGTTTCCTTTTCCTTCAGTGACCCGTAACAAGCGCATTGACCTGCAGAAGAAGCAGACCCAGCGCAGCGTCTTCCGCTGCAACGTTTTAGGAGCACGGAGCAGCGGGAAGAGCGGCTTCCTCCAAGCATTTCTCGGCAGGAACCTGCAGGTCAGTGGAAATGATTAACAGAAAGCCAGTTAAACTTTATGAAACATGCTAATTCTGCAGCTATCGCAACTGTTTCCGATATGTACAAAATAAAGTGGGATGTATGAAGTGAATATAGGTGCAGATCTTATAAATGGTGAGTAATTAAAAAAAAAAAGGTTAATTTTCAGGACTTTTACATTAACTTGTCAGCATTTAAGGATAATGGTCACCATGATGAGGAAGCCTAAATTCTAACCAATGCAAAGCTCGTAATTAAGCCATTTTTTTCCTACTCTGTCTACATGGAGCACATCACAGGAGGACTTGCAGCTCTGTTGATTTTGCTTACAGATCCAGTGTTGAATGTGAACTCTGTTTCACTTTCAACACTGGATCAACATTTTATTATCATCATCATCTGTCACTGATTGATGGATGGCACTCAAGAGTCACACATGAACACTTTGACTCTGAATTGGATAAGAGGAAGAGACTGGATGGATGGTTCTGTGCATTTTTACACAGCTTGGACCCCTAATAACATTTTGCCGTTCTTAATGAGATTATATTCATAATCTAAATCATCAAAAATTAACTACACAATGTAAAATAAAGGATTTTTCCCCCTAAATTAAATAAATAAATAAAACAAAAGTCATGACGGGCGACACTGGCTTTGTTTTCCTCCACAGCGACAGAGGCGGATTAGAGAAGAGCACAAGTCCTTCTATGCCATCAGCACGACTTACGTTTACGGTCAGGAGAAGTACCTGCTGGTAAGATCCATTTACTCTGAGGAGTCATCAGCTGCTCGCTGGATTACTGTTACATAATCTGAGTGCTTTACTGAGTTTCAGCATTACAAATGTTAATCCCTCCGTCTGCACGCTCTGTTGCTCCGCCCCTGCTCCCTGCCCTGCCTGCTCACTACAAGCTCCACGAGGTGATGCCGGATATTGACTTCCTGACGGAGACGGACTTGGCCTGCGATGTGGTCTGCCTGGTGTACGACGTCAACAATCCTCGCTCGTTTGAGTACTGCGCAAAAGTGTACAAGGTGTGTAAACTGAGAGCGTCTTATCAGGCCTTATTTTAAAAGTCTTGCCTCCTGACACGGAGTTCTTGTGTTTGGCAGCAATACTTCATAGACAGCAAGACGCCGTGTGTGGTGATAGCCGCCAAGTCGGACCTGCACGAGGTGCGGCAGCACCACAGCCTGTCGCCGCATGACTTCTGCCGGAAACACAAGCTCCACCCACCCCAGCCTTTCACCTGCAGCACGAACGAAGCACCCAGCAAAGACATCTACACTAGACTCACCACCATGGCCATGTACCCGTAAGCATTAAAATTCAGCTACAGTCTTCACTGTTTCTTTCCCACTTATGCTTCTTTTACCTCTCTTGGGTGATTTTATGACATTTATCACTCAGTGATGTTAGGAAAATGAATACTAGCCACCTTCAATGTGTTGTGTAGCACTGAAACTTTACAGTTTGGACCTTAACCCAATGATTTTTGCAATCATTCGATCACACCGGTCAGTACGCGAAGACTTGACACTCTGAAATACACTGCAGCCAGTTCTTTCATTTATGGGCCCTGCAGGGTGTCCTAAGTCCTCAAAGCTCTCTGAGCAGATTGGATTTCAGTAGCTTAATTAATTGGCACTTAACGGATGTGCCCGTTAAAGCTCATTGTAGCAGCCCACAAATCCTATTGGCTAAAATCTGAAATCATTGGATCTGCTGCGCTCTAGAGCATCAGTCCGAGTAGATTTAAGCAGAAGTGCTTACTGAAAGGCGACTTTCTGCTGAGAGCCAGAGAGTAGACTGCTCCGGCCACTTATCGTTAACTCAGTTATTAGATGAAATAGAATAAAGTCTGAGCTTTAAACTCAGCGCTGTGTTGATTTTTTACTTTGATTTTAATCGTACAGCGCTTGGTAATTGTAGCATTACCATGCATGCTGTGTGGTAAACTCTCAGACTTCCTGTGCAACTCTACAAAACTGCCCGGATCTTCACTGTGTAGCGTAAATGTTGGTAAGTTTATTGTGTCAAACCAATAAGCTCCCATCACTCAGGCGTCAGTATTTTCTAAAGGTGTTTAACAGTTACATTTTAATGCATAGCAGGTTCAGTGCTTCAGCTGTCTCAGCAGTGAAGCTGCAGATAGTTTGTTTGGTCAGCTGAAACCACTGTGGCTGTCTGTTATTTGCAGGTGACTGTGGTCTCTGAAAACTCGTATTGCATAAGCCACGTTTTTCTCTGGTTTTAGCTGCCTCTGAAATATCTAAAAGTAAACGCAGCTGACAAAACGTCAGTCTGAGATTGTTTTAGTTGTGATGTCTGTTTTGTGGTTTTCCCTCCTTTCCTCTCGTTTTGTGTTACAGATATCAATAATTCTATTCCATTGGATGAAAGTAAGAGTTTGAGGTAACCAACAGCAGTGCAGGTTTCATATTACAGTGAAGGTCATGCTTTGATGTAGTTTAGCAGTTAAACAAATGTAATTGCTTTTCATCTGTCAGGCTTTGGTCCCTCCTCCTGTGAGTGTGTGTCCTTCTGTGTTTGTGCGTGTGTTGGCGTGGTGGTGAATACACGCATTTCTGTGTATCTTTCTGCAGCCACGCCCGTCTCCGCTGCATGTGTGCCTGCAACAGGTGCACATATTGCCTCTGTCAGAACCTCCTCAAGTTGGAGCTGCTGCGCAGCATTAAGGCCCAACTCCGCACGGTCGTGTTCAACAGGTTCATACACAAAATAAACTCTAGTGTTTAACATAGACTCATTCCTCCTCTCTGTCTCCGATCCTGGGGCTGGACCTCCACGATGGGACGCAGAGAGGCTTTACCCAAGCTCACTAACACTGGTGGTAGTGACAGCTCCTCTGCTTTCCCTCACTGTTCCCCACTGGTCACGTTTACACTGCATATCAACTGTCAGGAGAGGGGGGCACCATTATTGGTTTTACGTTATGTTTAAATATTTCTGCTGATAAATTATTGGCTTTTCCTGCCACGGTTGGGTTATAGTACTCGTACAGAGCAGGCTGTTCTCTGCTCAATGAGAAACACAGTGATCAAGTCGTTAGCAGTAGTAAAGTTAATAATAATATAGTTAACAGTTAATCTCTGTTATCAAATGATGATCGTGTTTCCCAGAGGTCATTGTTTCAGCTGAATAAGAGCTGAAGGTCTTTAAATCTTCTGCACCGTGTGGGAAAATGCGTCCTCAGACTTTCTCAGGCAGGTCGTCAGGAATGCGCAGAGTTAGCAGCTGTAGCAATGACACAAAAACCAGCTGCTTGACTGTCGATGCAGTTGTGGGTGGATTTTGTGCTATTCAGTGAAGTTTAAACTGTGACGTCAGTTTATCTCTATCAGCTGCAGATTCTGATGCTGCAGATGGTTCATTTCCTAAAATTCCAGAAGTTCTTTTTCCAACTTTAAAATCATAACACATTTGGAATATTACATCAATTTACATGCAGCATATTGACTATTCTCACATTCACTGACACAGGCCAGACACAACTGTCTGTAGACCCTAACGGCCTGCTGTCTTCGCTCAGCATTTCTCTGAATGAATTAATAAAAGTCTTGTTAAAAGCTCTTAAGCAAGAAGTCTTTGCTTGTGATTTAGGACTGCTGGGAGTAACTTTCCTATAAATGATGTCAGATATCTCGCTTTCTGCTCCAGCTCCAGGCAGCCGAGCCGCTCTCTGTACAGTCTGACACGGCGAGCTGTGACGGTGCTGTGCCAGCTAACAAACAGCGTGGTAGCCAGGGAGGTACCTGTGTGACTGTGTTGCGATGCATGATGCTTGCACCACAAACTCGGCTCCTAATACTGACTCCTATAGGTAACACTAACATGCAGTAAAAGAAACTTCAGCCCCAGATAACTGATCGCTTTATCTTTGTGAATTTTATTTAAAACTAAAGAACAGAATTTTTATGTTGGCCTGAATTTTGAATGATAAAAAAGGAACTTTGATGATTCCAGGTGTGAATTAGAGCTTTTCTCCGAGTCACGTGTGCCCCCTCCTGTCCTGCAGTGGATATGCAGACAGTAAATCTGACAAACAGGCTTTGTGTGCACAAAATGAGAAACAACCAATTTCTTTGGTTTGTTTGTGGTTCAAAATGAAAACGTCATTGCTCTCTACATGTTTGCATGTTTGATTGCATTCACAGAGAAGTATGTTTAAAAAGCACCTTTTGCCTGTTACATCTGTTTCCAGCTCCTCTTTCAGCTGTTTGATTATTTGTGACGTTTTCAGCCTCATTTTGTCCCCATTTCCATTCTTAACCTTGAAGTCTGCGCCCACAGGAGAGACATTAGTCTGAAAAGCATCGCTCTTAATGGGCGAAATAAAAACGAAACCAGTCTGTTTCTTGTCCTCCTGAAGGGTTAAGACTTGATGAACTGATGTTTGAAATCAAATGTGTTTAAATGATTGAATTTGATTGTTTTTGTTCTTGTCCAATTACTCGGTCATTTCATCCTGTTTTCCCCTCCTGTCTTCTATTTCCTGTCTTTGTGTTCTTCCTTCCACTCTATAGGTGTTCACACACACGTTTGTGGCTGCCCCTCGTCCTCTTCTTCTTGCATGTGTTCACTCTCTGCTAATCTGCATGGCTCACCTGTTCACTTCAGCCTCTGTACTTAAAGGGCATGCCTCAGTCCTCTGTGAAATACTGCCATCTGCTGGCAGCTGGGGAAGGTTCTGCATCTGTCTGTACAGTGTAGTGAGCTTGGTGTTTGAATTTAATGGTGCAGGTTTGCTGAGCTACACTGCGGGTGTGAATGTGTTTAAATGTGTTTTGAGTGCGTACGTTTCTAATTTTTGTAAATTATTGTTAGTCACTCAGGCAGGGCTAGATGAAGTGTTGCACCCAGCAACTAACCCTTGTGTCGACATCGTCTCTGGGAGTTGTTATCAGTGACCTTAATTAGGCAGAGTGAGGGCCTGACGACCTGAAATCTAACATTAAAGTAATATTTCAGGTCCGATTCATAACAAGCATCGAGATTAAAGTGCATTAAGCCAAAGTGCTCATTAAGATTAGAAATTAACTGAGTAACAAGTACAGACCATCCTTTATACTCTGTGGTCAAAGAATCTAACACGCCAAAAAAACAAACTATTATTTTATTTGGTAACAAACTATACAGTTTATGGTGTGTTTGTGTGCTTTTGTTTGAGATATCAAATGAAAGTGGGTCAGGTATCATGGTTGTGTTCAAGCTTTTGTTTCAAAGGTGGTGTTTGGCCTACTTTTCGGACTTGGTGGAGCCGGGCGATACAGATGACTTTTTACAATTTTGTTTATATTATTGGTGCATTTTATTGTATTTCCTTCATTGTTATAAATAAAAACTTTTTTCCTTTTTTTTAAAAAAAAAAAAAAAGAAGAAGAAATAACCAAAATAACTACTTCACATCAGCTAAAAGGGAAAATATATTTTGCTGAAAAAGTGTAGTAAATAGTTTTTACTGTTAATGAGGATATAATATAGAACCAAGTATATACAGTATATGTATACACATATATGTGGCCATTTCCTCATTTTATGTAAAAACAGTTCCCACACATATAGTATTTTTCGGCTTCAGTCTCCCTCGTGAATATTTCCGGGTTTTTCTTTTTTTCGTCTCCTGTGATTAAAGACTATATTTTTAAGTGCTGCTGGGTCAGACCAAACCTGACTATATTCTTTTTAGCTCAAACAAGTGTTTAAAAAACAAACCAAAAAAAAAAAAAAGCGCAAATGTTTTTCTGAGCAACCAGGATATTAGGATGGCTGGAAATAGATTTTCTACCAGTAGCTGCCCACAGACTGTGTTTGCAGGCCTATTTATGTCAATGAGTTGATGGTCAGATAACCTATAAAGATAGCCATCACCATTTCCTACTGATTCAGACTATAAAACCACAGTTGAAATTTTTTTTTAAGTAAATGCCTGCACAGACCAGCATCGTGTGACCGGACCACAGGCACGGTGTAGAGTCCACACAGAAACGGAGTTTTGATGGAAATTTGGTAAAAGCAAACGACAGCAGTGCAGATACAGACCCCGTGTAAACTGTAGTCTGTAAAGGACATGCATCCTTCCTTTATTCAACGCCAGAAACAAAGGATAAACTCTTAGGGACATTTCATTTCTACAGCAACAACTATTGTTGCGCAATCACAACTACAGTTGCCTCACGGTGCTTTATATTCTAAGGTAAACCCTACAATAATACAAGAAAAAACGAGAAGACCCCAACAATCATATAACACCCTATGAGCAAGCGCTTTGGCAACAACGGGAAGGAAAAACTAGCTTTTAACAGGAAGAATCCTCTTGCAGAACCAGGCTTGGTGAGGGACATCGATCTGCTGTGACCGGTCATGATGAGGAGAATGAAGATCTTCTTTAAAATTAAGTGCAGGAGACTTTGTTGCCCTGGAGGCAAAACACAGAGTAAGATGCTTAACTGTCTTATGAAAACATCCTTCCAGATTCCTCACGTGACAACATGCTGTCATTACTTTCACCTCGCTTCCTTGAAGAAGAGATTCTTCTGATAAGATGACAGCTTGGGTTCGTGCAGGTTTCCTGCTGTGCAATACTTATTTGCATATATCCCGTAGCTATGGCAACTCAGTTAACAGGTAACTGTGCGTGTCATGACGTGCTGCATGTTAATTGCAATTATGAGAACCTGTGTAAGTGATTTCACTAAACAATGACCAAAGTATAAACGTGTTAAAAAGAGATGTTGGCATATATTGTATGATGGAGTATGAATTATCTGCCTAGCAACCAAGCAAACATCATCGTTTACTATGCCAACATCAATTTGTGTTTATAACATGTTTACAGAAAGTTTTGATATTCAGTAAACTGCACCTTCTTTTAAAAAAAAAATCCCTAGAAAGAAAGTGTTAGCTGGTTGTTAGGGAAAATGTTTCTCGTAGAAACCACTGCCGCCCCTGAAAACTTCCGCTGCATTGTGGAGGATGCTTGAACCGGGTTTCATGCTTTAATCACTAACTGAGCGGTTCTGGCTGTGATAAATGTGTTGATTGTTTAACAAATTCAAAGTGTCTCCCTGCTTCACCTGCTGCATTTGACTCCTTTTGTGACTGTGTGAGAGGCTGCCTGGTTGGGTGGAGTTTGTGGGGTGGGGGTGGTGGTGAGGCAAGCTGCCTGCTGTCACAGGACGATTTCAGCCTGAAGCAGCAGGTTTCAGCCATCTCCATCGTGGAGGTGGGGTCCAGCTTTTATGGAGGCCTCCGCTGAACCAGTAATTCCCCCACAAAGGTAACAACAGAAATCATAGAGAGAGGGGATGTTTGATTTTTATACCTGTGGAAGGATGGGCGAACACTCCTTGCATGTGACTGTATCTCATAATGGCAGCAGGTTTATCAGGTTTTGACCTATAAGAGTCATGTCGATATCTACTGCCAGAGGCGTTTTCCTCTTTTTTTCAGTAGATGGAGCATGAGTCTGGCTTTTCTTTGGATCCTACGGGAGTAACAGGACATTTGAAGGGTTGAGTGGTGACGTGTCTGTCCCCAGATCAGCTTCTCAAATTTCTGATGAAGCTGTACAATCAGTATATTATGTATACGGGGCACTTGGGTTACTCCCTTTCTCCTCCCTCCTCCTCCTCCGTTGCTTTTACCTGTCATTGCAGGCTGCATAGTTCACCTTGTGTTTCCTTCCAGCTCAGTCTGTTGTCTTAGAAGTGTTAACGCAGTTCTATGAAGCTCAGGTGGTGTCATGTACACACATGCGCTTAATCTTAAAATAATGCGTTGCCTACCTCATTGTTGCCACAGGTATATTTAGGTGTGAGATTTATTTCACTCTACGCCTCATTTAAATTAAAGCGCTGTTTAGATCTATACTCTGCATCAAAACTGTTCTCTGCCCTTTGTGAGAGGAGATGAAGCCAAATTATAGAGAAATTATCCAATCAGCAGCACTGAAAATACCAAATTTATTTAGTTTAGACACCACCTGGGCTCCATATAATTTTAACAATCCTTTAAGGTACATAGCAGGTGCTTCTTTAAGACTCTGCTCTTTCCCTTTTTTACGTATCCCAAACTGAAACCAACAATGACAAGAGAAGGCATGTGTTTCTCTTTCATGCTGCCATGAGAGGATCTTCGGATTCGTCATATGTGGTCAGGCTTTGGGAAGTTTTCACCCAGAGGGGGAAACACATGACTTTGTTGTGTCATTTGGCAATTTCTCTCGTTGTGGTTTTACGAGCAGATGGAAAATGTGGCACTAGATTCGTCATTGTGTTTTAAGCTGCTCCCCTTTTCTGCTATTCATGTATTTTCCCAGCCTCTCACCTGCTCTCTGTGTGTTTCCTGCTTCTTCTCTCAGACACATGGCTCAGGCAGACCTGAAGAACTCCACCTTTTGGCTGAGGGCGAGCGTCGGCGCCACAGTGTTTGCCGTGCTGGGCTTCGCCATGTACAGAGCGCTTCTCAAACAGCGGTGATCAGACAGAACCAGACTTCCCCTCTCTGGTCCTTCTGTTGACTCTGCCCCTTCTCCTCCCACCACTCATACCTGGGGAAAGAAAAGACTCACAAAGACGGCCTGACCCACCAGCCAGGCCTCATTTCTTGGTCACCATGAACAAACGTGCAGACTTATAGGTACCTTTTATATAAGGGAGTGTGGTGTTTTTCTCCTTATGTTTTGAAGAGGGGGGCAGGTTACATTTGAAACATCACCTCTGTTTGTAAATGCTGGCGTCGTTTGGTCTGTTGGTTTAGTCTAGGTGAGATTAGACACGAGTAGTCAGCTGGTCCAGTCCTCTTTTTAATTCCCCCCCCCTCCTCAGGTCAGTATAATTAGATATTTGGACACCAGAGAGAGGCAGACATCCACAGATCCACCACAAAGGGACTTGAATCTGTTTATAGATGTGTATATGCAGGTATTATGTATGTATTCCTTTAAAAAAACATTTTAGGATCAAAGCTAAAGCCAGAACAGGAGGCGATGGGACAAAGAGCGCTGCATCTAACACTAAAAAGGTCACGGATGCCATGCACTTGTTTATTTTGTGTGTTTAATTTATTAACCTGTTTCTCTCTCTCGTCTGTTTTCCGAGTGCACCGCATGAAACTCTGGGATTTTTTTCTTTTTCATGTGTTTTTGTATTTAGTATTATCGAAGCCATTTTCATGGTGAACGACTACCTGCTTTCTGTTTTTATTTTTGTTTTTCTGCCTTTTGAATAAAGCTTTTTTCCTCCTTATATTTTTATGAAGTTAGACGCACCGTTTAAACCAGGCATCATTATATTAACAGCTGTTCGCCCTTTTCCCCTCTTTGAGTCTTGTCATTCTTCATCTTCGGCGTTTTTAATAACGACTTGTGCCGTACGGATGCTGGTGGACAAGGAGAAATGAAATGGTTTTAAATATCTGTAATAAATTACCTTTACACCCACTTATGTCACTGTGTGTGTGTGTGTGTGTCACTGAATAGAAGCAGCAGTCATAGTAGAAATGGTCATTGCTGTACTAGCTTTGTGACGTGAACTCAAACAAATAGAACTTCTGTGCAGAATGCAGAAGTGAGAAGGTGATGTGGCTGCAAGCGATACTGCTCTCAGCTCGAGCGATGAGGAAGTCTCACCACACGCACACAGGTAGCAAGAACTGGCAGCCACAGTGTGAAATTGTAATCTGAAGGTTAACATGTCTGTGGATGGGACCGAGCTGCTTTTTGAGAGCTTTCTACAAAAAAGAAAAGACACGGTGGTAAGTTATAAAGCTCCTTTTGCCCTTGAGTTACTGTGAACGTTACGGTTGTTGTTAGAAAGTGACTTTGGTCACTCTCTGCTGTGGTTGTAGAAAATGAGATGGGTCACATACTGGTTCAGGCTTCAAAACACAACCTTGTTCTTCTACACTAAGAAGAATGGAAATGCTGTAAGTGTTTTTGTTTTATTTAATTAGTAATTCCCGTTTAATTATGGTTTCATTACAGGTAGAAATAGAAAATGCCTCTTGTAAAGATCTCACTGCTTTGTATGTTCACACTGGACGTTTTTCTCTTTGCAGTCGAGCTTGAGAGGATTTTACTACATATACACAGTAAGTCCTTCATATCCCTGAATATTACAGTTTATATACAGGAAGCAGATTTTGCACATGTGGCAGTAAGTGCCCAAATTAACCACAGTAAGCATTTTTATTGAGTGTTTTTTATTTGTTAGCACTAGCAGTGGTGCCTCACTAATTGATGCCTCTGATGAACTACATTCATTTGATGGCTTCACTCACAAGTTGTCTCACAATAATGTGAAATAAAATGTATTCTTTCATTTTACCCTACAACTATATAAGCCAGTCTCACACATGACTGCTTTAACCTCTTCTCTTAATAAGGAAAGTGCTGTATTTAAGGCTGTGAGCAGCCTTTCTCTTTAAATGAGCACCACTTCTCTGAAATGCACTAGCACATATTTTCCAGTCTGTTTGTGATTTCTGGGGTACTTCCGCAGCTGTTGCGCCTGTACGTGAGTTTGGATTACCTAAATGTGTCATCTGTCCTCTGGGTCAGGTGCAGTCAGTGCGAGAGGTCCAGAAAGCTGACAGGAAGCGCTTTATTTTTGAAATAACCATGACAAATGGGAAGAAAAAAGTGTTGGTGAGTCATCACTGTGTTTTAGAAATGTCATATTTCTAATTTTGATATGCATGTTGTCAATTGTAAGTTCAATCCTTTTCCCTCTTCAACCACTGGACGCGTGTGTGTGGTGCAGGCAGCAGAGACGGAGGACCTCAGGAAGGAGTGGGTGAGATGCCTCTGGCAGGCCATGCATCTCTCTGCCTCCACGACCTCCGTCTCTGAGGGCGCACAGTAAGATCTGAATTTACAATCATATCCCGGCAAATCTTCTTTCTTTTGATTTTTTTTGACCTTTCCCTTTTTCTGTTCCTCAGACTTGATGTGTGTGAGCAGCGAGAAAGACTACATAGCATGGCACCCATCTGCTCACACCGCGAAAGTGTCATGGAGGAGCTTCCAATTCGGCCCCTCTCTGCGCCCCCTCCCTCTGACTACATCTACGCACAACCCCATAAAATCTGCCCCCGCACCAAAGACACCTTGCAACCCAAAGACACCTGGCAACCCAAGGAGACCTCTCAGCTCCAAGACACCTGGCAACCCAAAGACACCTGGCAACCCAAGGAGACCTCTCAGCTCCAAGACACCTGGCAACCCAAGGAGACCTCTCAGCCCCAAAACACCTGGCACCCAAGACGCCTGCAACGGAGACCTCTGCACAAACACCTTCAACCCAGGAGACCTCTCAGCCCCAACACGGCAGCCATGAGCAGGACCCAAGGAGACCTTCAGCCCACTGGCCACCAAAGCCCGCAAAAAACTAGCCCCAACTGGCACACCCAAAGACGCCTTCAACCCAAGGAGACCTCTCAGCCCCAAAACACCTGGCAGCCCATAGAGCAGGACAACCAAGGAGACCTCTCAGCCCCAAAACACCTGGCAACCCAAAGACGCCTGGCAACCCAAGGAGACCTCTCAGCCCCAAAACACCTGGCAGCCCATAGAGCAGGACAACGAGGAAGGCATTTATCAGAACACAGGGAAAGCCTACCAGAATCGCAACGGTAAACATGATCATGACTGTCTCTCTGCACCATCACAGCTTGAATTGTTATTTCTGGTGCTAAATGCTGCTGTTCTCAGATGACTGTCCCAGCGATCCCCAGTGGTCCAGCCAGATGAGCAGTGCAGAAGCCGGACAAGAAGGACACTATGATGTTTTGCCTATTAGAAACAGTATGACCAAAAACTTTCTTGAAATAGTTAAGCTTTCACAATAAGAGCATGCAGATGTCCAAGAAGGGGCTCTAATGTGTGTCACATCTTCAGGGTTGTGTAAGGCGAACCGCTCAGCAGAGGCAGAAGAGGACGTTTACGATGTCCCTGCGTTCTACAGACAGACTGCTGAATGTCATGGTGAGACTGTGGTTTGCTTGTAGAGGAAAGAAGTGAAAAGTCTGAATATTTGTTGTTGTTTGCTGATGTTTTATCCATTTCACACCCTCGCAGAGAGTGTCTATGATGTGCCAAGCTCACTCCTGAGAACCATGTGTGATCACACCATAGGTAACTTCTATGACTTTACCCGGTTAAACAATTAAATAACCCAGTTCTTCATAAACTCATTTGACAGTGTTTGTTTGCATCTGCAGACGATCAGCCAGAGGAAGGAACCTACTGGAATATATGAGGTGTAGTTTCAGAGCATCGGTGGAGGCCGGCAAACTCACCAGCTTTGGATTGGAAGACCGTCGCTGCTTCATCTCTTTATCTTTGTGTTTCAGTTTTAAATGAAACTAATCGCGTCTTCTACTCTGGTTTATTTTTTTCCCCCAACCGACTCTACACAATGAGAACTTTTAACGTGTGCTGCAATAGTTTGTTTTGATGCTGGTATGTAAAGGCAGACAGGCAGTAAAAACTGCATCAGTTCTGTGAAATGCACTTGCACACAGTTTCATTGTATCGGTTGCAGCCAAAGGAAGGAACTAAGTGGATGATTTGAGCTGTGGTTTCAGAACATCAGCACAAGCAGCTCCACACGCTGTCAACCTTGGGAACTGTTCATTTCTGTATTTTATTTGTTTTACTAGAAGTAGCAGTATTGGATACTAGTACTATTTATACAAATGTAAATAATATCCCTCATCTTTGTTCAATGTTTCGTCTAAAACTAGGCAACAGATACGACCGCAGCAGAGGTTCAACTGTGGTATTTATTTACTCCTTCTATACAAGACCAGAGAACCACAAACACATATTTATAGGTAGAGAAAACATGCTGTACAGAAATGTGTACACACAAAGAACTGCAGGGTCAGTCACACTATGTTTCACAAAAGTAAAAACAATTCATTTTACATGTCAAACTTGGTTCACAGTTTAAAAGTATACACCATTATACTTTACTGATATTGCTGTATTACACACTTTGGACTTGATTTAATGGGAATGATCTGAGCTTAATGCTAAAACACTTTAAAAGAAGGAAAGAAAGTAAAAGTCTACTATGAGCTTGTTGTCAAATCTGTATTTTTAATCTCTTATTTCATTTATTTTGTGGGAAACTCTTTAAACGCCACGCACTCAGTTTAGTGATGTAGCGAGCGATCACGTGGTGCCTGCGAGCTGATGAAGGCTGTGATACTGAATGTAAACAAAAATATTCACACATTACAAATACAACAATTTTCTTTCCGTTACCAGAGTAAGACTAAACATACAGTTGGTACACACACAGTATCCTTACTCATTAAAATAATTTAGTAGTGCATATATTGTGTTGAAATACAAGCAAAAACAAGGCGCACGTATGTAACAAGCAATGCGTAAAAAGTGATTTGTGCAGTCGCAGTAATTTTTTCCCCTCACAATCAAAATAAATTCTAAATATTAATGAATTGATAAGAATAGAATTAAATAAGCCACACGCTACGCCCTGTTGTCATCTTTGTCAGTTAGCAAAAATACCAGAAATAATATTTGGTTCATAGTATCGTGATACACAACACAAGCTGCACTACCCACTCAACAACTGCAGTTTAAACAATCTGTTTTTCTTCAATTTGTACTTCTCTTCACTGAGGTAATGTCCTTAGAAAGTTATAATTTGTGAATTACAGCTGGCGTTAATAGTTGTCATTGTTAATACAGTGATGCTACTAAATCTGTCACTGCTTTACAGTACAGTATATTCCAAGTCTGACCACCAGTCTCCAAAACAGTTTTATAACTTACACATTTTATTACGCAGCAGCCTCGACAGCTGTGATTCTCTCAGGATATCTGATATTTTAGATTGTAGTGTGAGGTTTGCTGGTAGTGCACGTCGGTCGGGGATCACGCTTGGGCCTGGGATTGTTCCCTGAGGAACTCCTCCAGGACCGTGATGATGCTGCAGGCTTCGGGCAGGTCGCTGTGCTCGGCCCGGGCGTTCTGCAGGAGCACGTCCCCGTTTCCGCAGCCCTGCAGGAACTGGCAGCAGCGAAATAGCGCGTAGTGACTCATCTCTGCCTGCCGCACAAAGCGCTTCAAGCTGTTCATGTCCTGGATGGCCTGCAGGGGGAGAGACAAAGTAGTGGGTTTTACAAAAAGGGAAGAGGCGAGGATGGAAAAAAAAGGCAACAAGTAAAACAAAACTACAATCTGTGTGTGTGTGTGTTTTCCCACCTTAAGTTTAAAGTTCTCCAGAATCTGTCTGAGCAGGAACGGATTGCAACGCTCTGCAGCGTTCAGAAATGCTTGAATCCAGTCATCACAGAAACGGTTACTGACTGAGGGGACAAAACATTTTTATTAGTTTCTCAGACATTACAAAGACAGACTACATACATGTCACAGTGTGTGAGTTACCAGTTTTTGTGAGTGTGGGTGGGCTGGTGGAGCAGTCTATAATCAGGGCAGACTGTGCGTCCTCTGAGATGGCCTTGCACAGAGAAGCGGTCGTGGTGTCTTGCTGGGAAAGTCCCTGCAAACTGGCTGCTTTGATGAACCTGAGAGCATAAAGTGGATGTTTTTTCTTCTTCACACTGAACTGCTGAACATGAACAACAGGAAGAAAGACAGACCTGATACATGAGGATCAGCATGGACTTCGTCACCTCACTCACCTGGAAACGTCAGCCTTTGTCCTCTCGTCTGAATTGATGACCTCGACATGTGTGTGACTCAGAGCCTGTGCACACAAGGTTTTAGAGGTTGAAATGAATTAAGCTGGAAACAAACAGACAGCTAAACCATGATTTCAAAACCAGTTCACCCAGAACCAAAGTAACACTCATCTTCCTCCTTGGTGTAATTATGTCAAAATGAACTGAGGTTTCAAGCACCTCGTTGAATCTAAGCAATAAAGAATTTATTCTTCTATGAAGGCCAAAGGGGGTCCAACCTGCTACTTCTGAGGTGTACTGAATAAAGTGGTCAGTGAGTATATGTAGTTCCAATACTTTTCAGACGTGTAAAATACTGTTTACAAACCAGGATAAAGACTGACCACAGACAGTGAATGTGTGGAAACCCTGGCAAGTCTCATTGTAGTTATGGAAACCTGTGCTTAATTCAATTTGGGGGTTTTTAGCGCCCCACACATTTTATATAAATCTATTTATATAAAGCGCTATACAAATACAGACCATTTACCATTTATTTATTCAGTAAAAAAATAAAATTGCCTTGAGTCTTGAGGACCAAGTGAGGGATGATATGATGGTAGAAATTATGCCATATTCTTGAAATGAGAGCAAACCAAACGGGTTGTTTCTAGAAACACTTTTTGGTAAGTGTTATGTAATGTCTTCCTCATCAGGGTTATCTCACAAGCTTCTGATATTATTCCAACACTTGTCTCATGGAGTATTGTACCTATTAAACAAAATTCCTCTCTAGAGCAACTTGCAGTGTTATTCTTGAGTCCTCCATTCTTATCTTAATTATTTATTCTCTTGTATCAGATGAGTGTTTGCTTTGTGAGCACTTATCTTTACTGGACATACTTCAATAAGTAAACAGTGTAGTGGTGAGAAATGACTCACAGCGTGGAGCAGGAAGCTGATGTTGCTCTGGACCAGCTGCACCACTCGATGAATGTGCATCACAGACTCCTCGTACCACTGACTCAGATAGGGGCGCACCTCCGTCTCAAGGTTCTGCAGCTAAACACAAACAAAGTGGGACACGTCAGTCTTGCACGGATAATACTATAACATATTATTGGTACACAGTTACACTGTTATTGCACTGTCATACCTCTGGGGTTTGCAGGCTGCTGTGCAGGCCTTGGACGTACTTATCGAGCTCTAATCTGAATGTGTATGCAGTCAAGGAATTTGAACTGTAACACGGACGCACCCCAACAATGCAGTGAAACACATTCCGTAACAGCAAGGAGGAATAACGTATAATAGTCCTGGAAAGCAATTTACTTAGAACTTTGGCTTATTTTATACAAAAGGATATAAATTCAGTCCTTTTTCAGACCCTCCCATAAAGCAGATGACATATCCATTTCCATCGGAATCCGGCTGTTCGGGAGACCGTTCCTGCTCCAGGAGGCAGCAGTAGCAGCCGACGGCCTGCTCTGGAATACTGTCGAGTAAAAATTCAGAATGGTTGTGTTAATAAACGTATACATTTCCACATATTTCCAGTTAAACTTTAGCTTTTCATTAGTGTGGTTAAATGAAACGGGCTATATTCACTTTGATATAAATACATAATATGCTTCCACATCATGACCTGCACAAGTCTAACAAACGAGATGAGGTTCAAAACATGTGCTCAAATATCCAGCTGAAGTTAAGCCAGAAGCTTGTGGACTCTGTGTGGATTAGAGAAAATCTTAAATAAATTGAAGCTTGTGCACCCAGTTCTTGTTTTATTTTTAAAGTTCTTAAAGATGTACCTGTACAATCATTCCACACCGGAAGAAGAACAGTTCAAAGAAAGCATATTGAGTGTGTGTAAGCTTACCACTGCTGTATGTAAAATTATTACCTGAGTTCCACAGTGGCAATGTTGCCCATGCCTCCAAGCAGGGCTCCTTTGCTCAGCCTCCTTGAAATGTAGGTCCGCAGCTCTGGCTCTGCCTCTGATGGCAGGCTGCTGTCAATTAGTGTGAGGCTGTGGGCAAAGCAGAGAGTCAGTGTGGATAAAAACAGCCAGTGCAGGGATGAGAAGTTTGTGGAAGCCACTGAAGTCAATGGAGAGGAGATGGAGAAAGCTGATGACAATATGCAGCACACAACACACAACTGAGTCACATAGTTGTTAAACTTTTCCACACTCTACAAAGACATTCAAAGTTATTTTTTATTAGTTTTTTTTTTACCAACAGTAGTTGATACATAAAAGTGGAGCCACTGTTTAGATCAGGAGGCACCTTACGGCCACGTAACTCAGAAGCAGAGTGATGACCAGTTGGAACAAAAACCATGAATGAAAACAGCACTGAATACATGTTAATCGGATTGCCGGTGGCAGCTCGTGGAAACACTGATGCACAACAAAGAAAGCCAGAGAGGAACCAGGCAAAGCAAGTGGGAGGTAGGCGCTGGCTCCTTCGTTACCTAAAGTCTTCCTGACTGGTTGTGGAGTCTGCTCGTCTCTGGTTCCATGCCACATTTTCCCCAGAAGCCTCAGATCTAAGACAATCGACAGTTTACTCATCACCTGGTTAGAGTTTAATGTATAAAGTGGGCTTTACCCGCATAATAGCATGAGAAGGGACAAATACAGCTAAATAAAACCATAAACTACACAGAGATATCTTTCCTGGCTGTGTTCAGAAATAAAAGGAGGATAAGGGTTATCCACAGTAATAATCCTAAGATTTTAAACATGCTCCTAAATTCGAGTTATCGATGCAAGAAGCAGAACCATAGGTATCATATGGTTGCAGCAAAGCTCTGCGAAGAAGAAACCTAGCAGATAAATAGCCACGGTTACCTTGTGCCTTGATAAAGATAGATGGTGTAGTAGCAGTTCAGCTGAATCTTCTGGCTGTATCCAGCTATTTCTTCGCTGTCAAAGTCATCTCTCTCCTCCACGTCGATTGAATCTTGGAAGGACGAG